ATATTACGACAAAGCTATCAATCAGTCTCACATTCAAGGCTCTTTATCACCCCATGGTCCGACCGACAGAGTTTGAATATGAAAGTAAGCTCGGCTTTATTCTTGCTTTAATTAACTTTCGTTGCCACTTGTCTTGAAAGCTTTTATTAAAAATTTCTATAGCTCTCAAGTCACCCATATTTATAGTTTTGCTCTTATGCCGTCTCTGTCAAATTTAAGACAATTATCCCATCAAGGGATGTATTAAAACTAAGCTGGAAACTAAGTTTAGCCAAAATATGATTTTCATATAGGCGGTAGGCATCCATTAGTCGTTCTAAACTGAGCGCAGCCATCCCACATATTTAGAATTAATTTGAAGCTGAAAAGGATGAGCGTACATTAAACTCCACATATAAAGTGTTACTTACATAAAAGCGAATTTGTGTCACAAACATAAACATCCAGGACAACCACTTGATTACAAAATTGTATGAATTGTGCGCTATAAGGAATGGAATGCACGGTATTTGGTTCAAGTGTTATAATTACGATTTTCATTTTATTTCATTATTCGATAAAATAAAAAAGCAGAAAATTTTCTAAGTAAATGAATAGATGAAAGGAATCCATTTCATGCCCAAAGAGAGAGAGAGATATTTTACAAGCATTTTCTTTTAATTGCTGAACATTAATATTAGCAGAACGGATCTGCAGCGAAGTGGATAATAATTGAAAAATTTTTCACTGCATTTTAAAAGGTTGAGAAAAAATTATACTCAAAAATTAAGCCTTACATTAAAGAAAGGAAGCATTTTCGAAAGCGGCCCATCATTAAATACCCTACATCATTTCGCTTAATACATATAACCGCTTTTCAAAATAAAGACTTAGAAGTGGTCAAGGAAGTGCTAGAATTCGTCCGTGTACGAAATTTCATCAAAATATCTTAGCATTTGCCATATGTAGGCTGATCTCAAGAAAATAGGACGGAAGGACAGACAACACGGTATCTTGAATTTATTGATATAATAAGAGGCGGGTCTACTTTAATCCTTCTGGGTGGCGCATACTTCCACGCAAACTTAACACATCCTTCTATCATAAGTGATGGAGGGTATAAGATGAAAAGCAAAGCAAAAAATATTGGTTATTAGAGAAGTGTTTAGAAAAAAAGTTTCCAAAATAAGTTTGAGGAGAAAAATTGCCCAATAGCTACTACTAATCCGACCGGATTAATTTAATTATAAAGAATAAGACTAATTCATCCCTTACATTTACCTGTATATACACATATATCTATCTCTATACGTTTTTATATAGATATATATATGCGTATTTGTACATACGTATATATATAGATATATATGTAGGGTTTTTTTTTTTTTTTAAATCCAATTTGAATGCAAATTGATTTTGTTCTTTACTCCCTACGACATCGTGTGACATCAATCAAATGGTTAATGGTTTTTCTCTGCCTTCTCTTTGCAGCATTGTGAAGCTGCCAGTAATTAAATGCTCCCAAATGACGTTTCCAGTAATCATTTAATCGCAGGCCGCATTTACCATCGCTCGTTTTCTGTCAATATGTTTGTTCGCATGCCTATTTGCCTGCTGGCCTGCCCTGTTTATTTACTTATGCACCTTTGCTTGCCTCAAGTCAGTGACCTCTCGTTTCCTGACTGACTGAATGATTGTTTGTTTGCTGCTATGACCTAGTGCCTGATATTTCTCTTAAGTTTAAACAAACACTTCATCGATATATAATTAATTTTATTTATATTTTATATTGTGTGTGATTACTTTTATATCCGGGTACAGCTTTAATGCTTACAATCAATCACCTCTTGAGTGTACTACGGCCTGCAAACACTACTGTACTAGTATACTACACCTAGCAGAGAATAGATATAAAAATTTTATAAGAGGTTTGTTTGGGGGAACTTATGAAATCTTATTAAAGAAAATAATTAAAATTAACGATGAATTTTGGAGAGTTACGAACGTAGACGCAGCATTGTATATCGAAGGCAGCTTCATGGAGGCATGTGTGGAAACGTCAAGCAATAGGCAAACACTAACTCTGCATTAAAAAAACTTAGCAAATTTTTCGACATAAACTTACATGCATTTCCTTAAAGCAGATAATACTACGTTTCAGCTCCGTAGAAATTCCAAAGCTTCAGCAGCATTTTTTATTACGTAAGATTTTTAGTTTCATTCATTGTCATAATGTTTGCAACACGCAAAGGGAAGTTTCTAAGACGCTATAAAGTGTATTTTGCATCGCATTAAATTCTGAATCGATCTACTCCAGTCACGTCGTTCCATTTGTTTGTCTGTGTACCCTTATGGGCAAGACTTGCTGGCACTCTCCTGGTCACGAAAATTAACTGACCAATTTCAAATTTGATGGAAGATGGAAGCATTGAAAGTTCTTGCACAAAGGTTAGTATTGAAAAGAAGACATGCCCACAGCAAACAGTTACGTACTCATAAATTACGAAAGATAGAAGTTTGAGATTTTCTAAATGTGACTTCATGGTGGTGGATCCTACTAAAAAATTTTATCTACATTTCAAAAGGCGACAATCAAAAGAATTATGATATAAGCAGCTGCCAGTCAATATATTGGGTACTTGCGTCCATAATGCAATGCAAATGCCCAAGGATATAAAACAAGTTGTAGATATGGAAACCACCGCAGATTCAAACTTTACTTAGTTAACCTTCGTAGACAGATCTTCCAAGTTCATAACAGCATTATGTGTATAGAAGAAGAAGAATAAGAAATAAACAATCATTTATAGAAAAATGAAGACAATAGCAATCGTAAAAAGGGCTTTTTCAGCAGGTTAGTGCTACATAAAGAGTTGAGAATAGTATAGGAAAAGCGGATAATCTGACTGGTAGTTAGAGTAACAAAAGATCATATAGCGTATTTGGCGAAAAGAATGTCGTCAATCGAATTAAAAAACATATAAAACAATCAAAGTCTTTAATAACTCTTTTCATGCAGTCGTAAAGAAGAAACTGATCAATGTTGAGTTTGATGATTGCCTTAAACAAAAAGTGTATGTAAATAAAATGCTTTACGCATAAAATGTATCCAAAAGCAGGCAGGCATTGAAAATTAAATTTTTAAAAAAAAGTCAAAAGAATGAGATTTTTTGGTTGAACACAAAAAAAAAAGCAGAAATTTAAAGGACTACAAAGCAACTGTAACAACAAGAAATCTGAACTGCACTTCTTTCAACCAAATGCGCAGAATGCATGCTACTGTTATCCACAAGTAAAATGAATTTGTTTATAAAATTGAAAATCTTTACATATTCGTTCAAACCGCTGTCATGGCCTTCCAAAATTTGTAGGCGATATGTTCATTTTCGGTAAAGGGAGAATGTTTACCATAGTAGATAGTATATAGTTGAGCAGACGAACGGAAGGACAAACGGACAGATGGACAGACAAACAGACGGGCATATTTAGATGCATTCCAAATTTGAAATCGGCAATGAATTTATATACTTTATGGTGTCTTCGAAGCTTGTCGCAGCGCGTTACAAAGTTAGAGAAAGAAAATTAAACCTTGATACACTGTAACATTGAGTAAACTTTTTTCCATTTTTGTTGATAAAATAAATATATTCCTCATCCCTCGGTGGTGGATACAATAATGTTCTTATGAAATTGACACAGAATACGTCAGCATAATTAATTGAAGAATATCTCATGCCGTCCGACGAACCACCGGATCAATGCCTGCGGCCTCTTTAATCTTCTTTCAAAATATATGTAAGTTATAACGATTTCGGAAAATGAACTACTGCTTAAGTTGCCAAAGCTATTCGGTGGGGTCCGTCGACTTGTAAGAAGGTTTCTCGATGATGCGCACTTTGTCGGATGGATGAGCAGTGATTAAATTCTTGTATACAAATCAATACGCGAAGATTTATCTCCTGCCAACGACCCTACGATACGCCTTCCCGGAGAAGAGTGTAATGTGGCGGTAAGAAAAAAATTAAGGGAATTATAGTAAATGATACCGCCTGAAAGACGAAGTTCAGGTTATATATTACATTCGAAACCCTATTGGACGTGGTAGCGGCAGTGGAGAGTTTTCCCGGCGTAGAGATCTACTCTTTAGACGACCTTTACACTGCATATTTTCGACTCTATGCTCTGGATATTTATTCGCTATAATAATCCAAGTAAGGATAAGGATTAGAAGTCCGCATGAGAGGTCCACACCAAGAGTCGCGAGTACCAAATCAGTGTTTGCGGGTCCAAATTTCCAGTGCAGTAGAGCTTACTTTAGTCGTAGCTTTATGTAGTGGCCAGTCGTTAAATCCACAACACTAGGCTGCGGCCACCACCTTCCCATCTCTTTTTCTTTTCTCACTTCTTTCTGATCATCTGGAGAGATAGACGATGTCCCTGAATGATGCGACACGTACAAGAAAAGGTGCTTTTCACAAAAAAGCTCATGATCAGCAAGAAGTCGAAGCTTTAATTGCATCAAGTCGAAAGTTTGGCAAATCTTCGCCAAGTAAAGACTGCGGAAACAATGATGAATGTTGGGAAGCTATCAAGGGGCTAAAATGTCGTAAGTTTGGGGAACGCATGAACCGTGGATGCCACGCACTGATAGAAACATCAATGAGTAAAAATAGCACAAAAGTAGTTAACTTTTAACTATTACTTCAGTTTCCCTCAATTAAATTTCATATAAATAATTTTTTTATTTTATTTACTCAAACATTTTAGAATATTTCGTAGGTAACTGAAATTTCGTTTCAAAATAAAAGTTAATTTTTTGCATTTTTTTTTTTTTGCTATAAAACCCTTACAAGATCTTTTTTCACTCTAAAGTGTGCTATTTATTTGCACTTGGCTGTTTTGTAAGGTAATTCTCTTGCAGATCTACGCTTACAGAATGATAGAAATACTTAACGAAAAGTTTATTAAAAACTTTATTAAACACATGTGAAAGTACATTAAAATAATTGTGGACGAATGCTTTATATTGATGTAGAATTTATAAGAACTGCTGGGAGAGAGAGCGCAGTCATCGGGGATTTGACTGCACAATCCTGTGAAAGACCTGGTGGCGAGTTACCAGTAAACTGTAGTAATATTGTTAAGTAAGTAGTTAAAGCGCCGCTGATCTGTGCGTAAGAGAGAAATTTTGGATAAGCGATTTCAAAATATTTTTTTTTTATATTTAATGAATTGATTTCCACATCATTACCGTAAAATATAACGAACGATCAATTTTGAATAAACCAGCTGCGGTAAAATCGATTTTCAAATGCATTAATTGCATGGAAAATTGTTGTAATTTCTCTTTGACGTCCAGAGTCTTAGCCCTGTTTAGCAAGGCGTGAACAATACCTCCAGTTTTCTCGCTCTGCAAATAAAACACGAGTCAAAGTTGTTCCCTTTCGCTTTCTTTCTATAGAATTCTTTACCTTCTTAATGGTACGATTGCTGCTCTCCACTATGGATATGATGGCAATTATGTACAAAATCATTTGACATGAAAAGAATGTGACAAACTCTATCGTCTCAAATTTGCTTTCACGTCTCGATTTTCCCAAGAGCGTCTCCAAGACATAGTAGGCATCAAATACAATTATCAAAAATGCTGACGCTATTATCGTCAACAGTTGACAGGTGAAATATTTATTAGCCATTGAGGCCGCTTCGCATATAAGCTGATGAATTTCCATAGATTCCTGCACTATTTCGCAAGGACTCTTCGACGCAATGGTTTGCGTGGAGAAAGAATCTAAGCATTGCAGCGATTTCTGTTTACGGCTAAGCGTTTTAATACTGCGCGTTTCCCATTGACGGTAAAGATTTTGAAGGACCTGTACAAGGAAAAAAAGAAAAGATTTTTCGTAACCTCTTTATGTATATGAGAATTTATTTGTGTAGTCTTCGAGGAAAACCGAGCTGTTGGATGCCGCTTGTGAAGGCCCGAAGGCAGACGTGTGAATATAACTGATTTCATATCTTGAGATAATCCTAAATACCCAAAGCACACCCTAGTGACTAATGTTGGATCGTCCTTATCTGCTTGCTGCAATAAGCATGGGACGAATTATCGCCCTGACAAGGCTGGAGACCTCATCCGAAATTACAAGAGTTTCCATAATTTCGATAGAGGAGCAAGTATTACAACTTAAATACAACGTTTCAGTTCTCACCTTGTGTAACATGGTAAAGCGGGCTTCTATTAGTTTAGTGAAACATGAAAACATCGCTATCGCTGTCAATACCACCGTATGCTGTAATATGAACGTTATATGCAGATAGAGAGACGGTTCTTCATTCGCTGATTTTAATATTTGAAAACTCGCCGTTGTATATAAAATATCGATAAGAATCATCGCCACTATAAAGATGCAACTGTAACGTAATATTTTACTGTACATAATGCGTACACCGACCCGTTGCAAACACTGATCGATTTCTTGTATGAATTGCAAGCAATTCTGCACATAATGTTTAGGTATAATGGCTGTTATATAAATCACTGTAACACCGATGAAGCCGCTTAATATTTGCATAAAATCACCGAAACGCGATATTTTCGATTGGAAAAAATAACCGGCTACCGATTCAAAATTATTCATTAAAGTCATAATGTAGCAGACAATGTAAAGCGTTAGATGAAAGAAAACATTCAAATGACTCCACAACGAATGTCGCAATTCTTTCTTTCCATCAGCGTTCGCTTTAATTGAATACACCATCAAGCCATGCCAGTAAAGCAATAGAAATAATGGTTGTAACGATTCGTATAATCCTTTAGCAGAAAACAGACTACGCCAACGACTGCGATACGGTCGCGCTAATGGTAAATTATTTTGATTTTCAACATCCATTCAGTCGATATGGTTGAGCACAACTAACTTTCTCAAAAAGTTAATAAACCGACAGAACTTTATTCAAAAAGTTGTTTAGTAAATAATTCTGTCCTATGGGATATTGATGTTAGTGAAAAGTTAATTGCTATGAACACCGCCACAAGGTGACATATAGGCGGTCAACCTACGCAAGTTGAAATATATTAATTTAAGGTTTGGTTTAGACGTCCCCTCGTATCTGCACGAGTTAAATTAAAAGTTTTGATTACAGCCACAGCCACAGCCACAGGTTCTGGATAACATACACACTTCATCATGGGATTAAACAATGATTTAAAAAAAAATGCTCTGGATGACATTAAGGTAATTACGGTAAAAAGAAAGACAAGGTTGAAAAAGTTGTTTAGACCCACAAATTCCTTAAGAAAATAAACGCAATATTTGAATAGCATTTTGTTTCTTCTTTTCCATAATGAACTTATACAAAATATTTTTGGAATATAACAGTGAACTGAAGTTGGAAACTTTTATTAAATTTTTTTTTTTTTTATCCAATTATTATATATAGTCTTTATAATTTTATTTTAGTTATTCGAGCTTGAAGTACGGTTACGATATGACTGAATCAAAATACCACTTGGCACTATGACAAACATGGTTACAAATGTATTCAGTCGTTATTTCCATAAATACACATTCTCCCTACATTTCCGATTTTTGCATTATGCGAGACATATATAGTAGCAGAAGAAGCTCCGTCACGATGCGAACGAACTGTTTTTGCTTTCGTAGCATTAAAGGTTTAAAATCTTGTTTGTTTTAATGCGCAGGTGAAGGTCACATGACTCCAGGTCAGGTGAATAAGACGAACAATCCAGCACAGTATGTTATGCTTGATTAAAACGGTCTTGACCGATAGTGAATTTCAGGCATAGTTAAATAGCTATATAAACTTCCCCGAATGTCAGATCGAATCAAATCAGCTCCCGGTTTGAAGCAGTTTTGAATATTTTCTATAAATTTGTTCCAAACTCTTGAGACTAAAGCGAATTTGTCTGTTTGCAAACGTTGACTCCTCTCTGCTTTCTTTTATCGAAACGAATGTATCGCAGAATCTCAGTAAAATCACGTCTACTCATAGTGCTGGAGAAAAATGATTGTGCCCACTTGTTGTTCCACAAATCCTGAAGCCTCAAAGTGTTTCCTTTCTACGCACACCCCACTCTTTTCCGTCGTACGACTTCAACTTACGTGTTGTTACTCTGTAAGCATCAATTTCGTCATGTTAAAGCCCCGCTATGTATATTACATAATCGAGTTAATTATTAAATAAATTTCTTTAACTCATCTAATCCTGGATAAATATCGTATCATTGAATTACTAGAGCAAGTAAAAAGGCCCTAAAGCGGATCTAGAATACCATGCGTGCCTTCGTTAGAAATATGGGCGCTAACCCTTCGACACGAATGTAAAGCGAATTAAAGACGACGAAGAAGAGAGGTCCACGGACGGATCTCCGTCCGGGAGCAGACTTCGAGCTGCTGATTAGTTTTTGTCGCGGACGATATGTCCCTTATTTGCACACGCTCAGGCAACTGACCAAATTCTTATCGGCCGATAGTAAGGGGATATTGGACATTTCGATTTAATTAAATATCTTCAGTAATCTGCCCTAATAAAGTAAAGAGTGCGATTAGTTGAAGAGTTGGTCAAAGTGATTTCGAGCATGCCAGTTGTGAGAGAATATAGATAGGGTAGCGGTGCGGAGCGGAAACATCCTATAAAAGCTTGGGTGAAGGGAGGATCTTTCGTTGCAAAAAATGGAAACACATTGCGGACAAAGATAAGTAAGTATCTTTCACTGACAACGTAGTCTGTACCGGCGAAACGCTCGAAGATTGATCAATGATCAGACAGATCTAAAAAGTTTTGCAAGATGCCTGGACGAAAGTCCGCGAGTTCATGCGAGTATTTCTTACGTTTGCAAATGTTCAAATTCTCCTTTAAAGATGCAGGTGGTAGGAGTGTTATAAAGTTTCGCTCAAGCTAAATAAAAAAATTCTCCCTCCATACCATTGCTCTAAAATTGTTTCAATGTTTGTGTCCCAACACAATTGTAGTTCTGTAAACGTTGCGGGACACTAGAGTAAACTAATATAAAACAATAAAATTTTTCCAGCCTCTAAGGGATTAATGACGTCTGTTATTAAAACGTATGTTGCCATCGCGTCATGTGAGACAATGTCAGACAGAAATTGCAATGTCAGGTAAGTAATAAATTGACAGAAAAAATATGAAAAGTTACGGGAAAAATATAAAGCACTCAATAATGGGGATAACGAAGTGACCAAACGTCCCCACAAACTAAATGCGAAGCTTTGGCGTTCAAAATGTTATCATAAGTACAAAAGAATCAAAAATACACGAACGATTAAAATCAACGAAACCCTTATCTAAACTGTCTAGATTACGCGGCTGATACGTAGCTAATCATGCTGCTAATATATGGATGAAATATTTGGATTCGAGACTTAATATCTTTTAAGGCGAAACATAAGCTTGGAATTAAGTTTCTTTCTAAAATTTTTTATAATGCACTTCGTATAATGTAATTTGATGCAAGTGTACGCATGCAGTGCATGGTAAATAGTAGCACCAAACATTTTGTTCATACTGGTTGTTTTGGTTGACTTGACTCCTATAGTACGTGTGGTACAAGGTCATATTAAGTTTGTGCGGATGTACGCAATCCTCAGAAGGGCTTGAGGTAGACCTACAATTTATTATTAAGCTGATCGATTCAGAGTCACTTTCTAGAGCAATTAAAGCTTGTCCGTCCGTCTGTGCGTTTGGTATTCTTGTATTCAATCTACGCGTTTGGAGCGAAGGATGAACGCTACTGAAAATGGCTCGACTGGCACTACTCTTTCAACGACTTACGGTATAGCAACTAATTGCGAAAAGTTGTTATATGAATAACTATAGGGTGATGTGGGATTGTCATTTATCCCGCGTGACAACAGTCCACTTTTCGACACTGATAACTAGATGAACTATGGGCAGTGGCTAACCTGCATGTCGGACACTCTGTAAAAACTTATCAAACGTTTACTCTTATTTCGTTATAATATCTGTGACATCAACACAAATCACATGAAGGATTATTTTCGGCAACAACTTGTAATAAACTTTGGGTGGAAACGTATTTCGAAAACTGCGCGGATGCGCACCGGAGAAACAGATGGACAAGCAAGTTCAGCTCGATTGGCATAACGTGCGCGCACGAAGAGCACTCCATTTCATTTCTTTCTGGATGTGCAATGCTTCCACCATTTGTTGTGTAGAATATAAGAAAATGATGACACATATGTACGCCGAGCAAAAAATTTTGTTAGAAAATTTTGGTCGCAAAAATTCAATTTACAATCCGGTAAATCATTACGACTGGTGTGTGGTCGTAGTTACAGTGAGCAAAAGCACTTACACTTACCGACCGGGCACATATCTCCCAGGCAGTTGCAGTCACCTCTATATATATATTGTATGCCTCGATGATCTTTCTCTCTCGTTGCTTATATGGTCATCTACGAATTTGTGTATAATCTATCAAATCTGTCCTCATAATGGGAATGTGCCTAATTCTTGTCTTACCTGTAAGTATGTTTTTCACGAAACTCTCTCCACTTTGGACAATGGCAATACAACATAGATACAAATAGTAAAGAATTTCATTTTCTTTAATCCGCAATCCGCTGCATATATTGTGGCGTCTCTGCCAACATCTTTACCTTTATTTTAACCGTATGTTAAGACGAACAAATATTTTTTACATATATATAAACCGCACACACGTTGTAACTCTTTAGCCTTAATATATCACTTTTCATGTGCTTAATACTTTACGTATGTGCTCTTGCATGTGTTCGCCGCTTACGTGTATATAACTTCTTGATAATAGTTGCTTGTTTCTTAAGGGTTTTCTTTGGCCGGCCATTGTGCACATCTTTTGGCATAAGAAACACATTGTCTTCAAACGCATATATGTAAACAATTGGTCTTACACTCCAACGCGGACACATTCCAACTACAGCAGAGTTGCATAGATAAATCATCGTTAGTTTATAGCATTTAATCATTCAATTCTCCTATCTCTGATCTGGTGGATTCGAGTTGATTCATTTTCAAGTTTTTCCCTTCTCTTAGTTGATTTTCTTCACTTGGGAGTAATGCGCTAGGACTCAGGAAAAGTTCGAGCTTATTGTAGCACGGATTTCATTTAAAAGATTTCTTCGGGTTTAAACTTAGAAAGATACGGAGTGTAAAACAAAGTGAAAGGATTTTGAAAAATGCTAAGAACAGCCATCACGGTAATCTTTATCACCTTTATCTTGCGATTAAATCTTTAGAGAAGAATTTCAAAAAAGTTGTCTCTTACAGTTGTCATGAAACATATCGACTGGGAAGCCGAATAAAAATTAAGACAAATGAAAAACATATAACGGATTTATGTACCGGAGCGGAATACTCCCTATATAACGTAAAAGTTAGCAACACTAATCAGTAAGAGGCTCTCACAAGTTATATAATTTGCGAACCAATTTAAATCTCTATCCGTCTGTGCGTCGCACGTTCGTGGGAAGCCCGGGGACCAACTGAAATAACCCAAACATGATACCTACTACTTACTACACTTCATTTGTTTTCGTTTGCAATATTCAAATATACATTATATATCTGAACGCTCACAAAGTATATATAAGCTTTACTAGTCCAACATTATAGACTACTACTAGATTACTAGTCCAACATTAAAGTTTGAGTCATGCGATTACGTGTCTATAATGCGTTACTGAAAAGTTACGATACGAATGAAAATCATCCTTATAACTAGGGCCACGTTCTATATTGGATTGACCTCTTCCTTTATCACTTCTAAACACAAGCACATTCTCAATTGTATGGAATTTGTATTTTCTCAGATGGTTTGAATTTGTTGCTTTTTTACAAAGATGGGAGA